ATGACAAAAGGAGTATAAAGAGGATCTCAGAGAGTGTGAGAGGAAATGGGACTTTGGAGTTAAAGGGAAGGAGGCTGTGAAAAGATCTGGTGTTTAAATAGGAAACTACTCAAAGGAGAAGATTTGGCCTTTGTTTCCATTGAGGACAAACGAAAAACTGGCTTAATTACAGCAAGAAGGATTTAGGTAAAGCATGAGGGAAAAAAGCCACACTGAGCTTCCTGGCAATGTTGGTGAATTCCTGGGTTATGCTGCCCTTGGAAATAAGACTGATGAACAGCCATCACCAGGCGAGTTGTGAATAACGGGTCCTTCCTGCTTCGTGGTATCAGTAAAGGGATGAGGCATCCCTCCAGAACTGGCTGAGCGAGTGCCTGCCCTTTTTGTGAGGGGGAGTAGTGTTGCTGAATCCCGGTGACGAGGGAGAAGCTTCAGGAGGACCCTGGAACATGTTGGATGAGTGATGGCCCTCTGGATGGACGAATGGACTTTCCCAATAAAGTTTCCTGGTCAGATCAGCCTTGAGGTAGTAAACCAGGAAATATGAGGGACTAGAGATCAGAGCTACAGATCTCTTTCTGATTGTTTCTTGATTAAATTCATTCTTCAAAGAATTTTTGAGCTCCTGTTGTGGGCCAGGTGTTAGATCCTAGAAATAAAGTAGTGGTTCTCAACCAGGGGTGACTTTTCCCCCAGAGGACTCTTGCCAACGTCAGGAGACATTTTTGTTGTCACAGTCGGGGCAATGGGAGGGGTACTGTGGGTGTCTCATGGATAGAGGCCAGGGATGCTACTCAACATCCTACAGGGCACAGGACAGTCCCCCAACACAGAACCCTTCAGTCCCAGATGCCAATGGTACTGAGTTGGAGAAACCTCGAGATAAATAAGATTCAGCCCCTGCTCTCAAAGAATTTGGTCTATTCATTGTGCTGCTTCTTAATATGGCTTGAAATGAGGCCTAATGAAAGTTTCTGCACTGAAAACACTCTTCACGTCCCTTGTTGGAAGAGTTATAAATAAAACTGAATTCCTGACACCATTTGGGACTAACAGCATGGTGCTATCAATGTAAAGGGGCTCATCACATTCTTACTAATTGACTGGGTTATCAAACTTTATGTTTTAAAAAATGATTTAGCAGAGGGAGGACAGGATCCAGGTGGCCTTTACCATCATTATCAGCAGCACAAGCCTACACTTTCATTTGAGCCTCTATACAGAATAGAGTTGGATGGAAAATAACCTATGAGTTGGGTTAATATAGTAAACCTCAACAGTTCATCTCCTTTAACTTGAACTTGTTCATAATTTTGGCAGAGCATAGCTAAAATCTCACTTCACTTAAAAATCCCCTGGCTTAATAACAGTTGCAGATGGATTATTTACAATATTTTGGAACTAGTTCTTTCAAGCACTCATATATACTACTTACTATAAAATAACCAATATGTTAATTAAAATAGAATCTCAATTTATTAAAAATGGCACCTTAAAGACTTCAAATATACCCTATTTTGTTTCACTGATGTGGGAGGTCAGTTATTTGACCTGGTGGTAGTGAGCTGTTCTGGAAAATTGCCTTTTTTATTTAATGAGGAGTAAAGTCGGCCAGAATGACCTCTAACGCTTTTTTCCCCTGCTGTTAAAGTTTTCAGCTTAGCAGCTTTTGAGTGTGACTGTTAGAGGCTTGGCATCCATACACTTCAGCTTGAAATCTCCCCTTTACCATTGTGCCAAGTGCTCTGGGCGTTCCAGTTAACTGGAATGGTCTTGAAAATAATTGAAAAAAAATCTGTAATTCAGACTCTTCACTAATTCATACTGGTTTTTGCCCCCAAAGGATCCAAATTCCTGTGGGTTCATCAGGCTTCAAACCCAATATTTAAGAATCATTGCAAAGTACATATTTTTGAGTTGTTGATGCTTAAAAACTGGAAGCAGAAAACTCTTGAGCCTCGATTTTCTCACTTGTAAAATGAAATCTAAATCCTTTCCCGCTTTATTAATTAGGCTATTTATAAAGATAATGACTATACTGACACACTTTCTCAGTAATTGGCCACCTTCATCTTTCCTCCTTCCTCCCATCCCTTCCCCCTTCCTCCCTTCCTTCTTCTTGGAGTTTTTAACCATTGCAGACATTTTTTTTCATGCTTAAAGTGTGAAAGTTTTGCCTTTGAAGCTAAACAAATGTTTGACCTCACTTTAGTATTTTCTACTCACTGTCAAGGACTTCCTCGGTCAGGATAGTATCTGTATCATCTTTAACTCTTTCTTCTTTTCTTCTAGATCATCTAGTTTTTACTTTACCAGGAGGATCGCTACCCTCAAATATGAATCTTAGTAACGTGTTCCAATTTTTATCATTTCTGAACTGAAGCCAACTGACACCATCTTGACAAGTCTGAGCAAATATCAACATTCCTGGGGACTAATCATATTTCCTGAAAGACTCTGAAAAGCTGTTCTTTAGGCTAGTTGGCTAAAACATTTTTTTAAACATTTTTTGAGAAGAGATGGGAAGTTAAGTCATGAGAAAAAACCTGATGGAAATCCTGCAGGACTGAAAGCTGGAAGAAGGGTAGCTGGAGACAGTTGTTCCCTCCAGGGAAACTTAGGCTCATTCTGGCCACAGCAGCAGGCCCTTTTCCCTTCTAATTTCCGAGCAAAGTAGATTTTGGTTTCCACCAAAGCCTGGGAAGGGGGGGCAGGTAGAGGGTGTCACTGCCCCTGCAGTGCAGCCCTGGTCCCAACACAACAGCTCTGTGTTCAGCCTTCACAGATCTCAGTGAGCAAGTCTCCCAACCCGACAGCCAGTCTCCACCACACAGGCCTCTCTCCCAAGACCCAGTGATGACTGGCAAGACCGATGGATGGGCATGGCTGAGGTGAGGAGCAGAGGCTGGTTCCAGGGCTGGGGGATGGCCCCACGCTGGCTCAACACCCACAGATGGTCGTGGGGCCAGCCCTTCTCACCCAATAAGAGCTGACATTGGAAGAGAAAAGGGCATCTCCAGATACCACAAAGGGAAATTTGTAGACTGATGTTTATAATGTGATTGCAGGTTACAAATGCCTTCCTTTCCACCTAGCTATCTCTCAGGTTTAAGCACTTGCTTCTAAAGTGAGAATTCTATTCCCTTAAAGCCAGATAAACAGCAGCTTTCCCCAGTACACTGTGAAAACAGGGACCCTTGCTGGCTGGTGCAAATGCTGCCTAGCACTACGGGGGCAGCAGAAAGAACCACAAACGTGGTGAGAAGAAGACAGCAGGTGAATGGGAACTGCTAGTCCCTAGGCACATTTGTGTTGGTTGTATTTGAAACTGAACCATACACACCATGCTCGGGAAACATGGCCAGAAACCCACAATGGGAGTTAGACTGGAAAAAGATCACCCCACGTTGAAGCTGAAAGGATGGAGTCTGGCTGGTGTAAGAGAATGGGACTAGTTAGCCTCAGGAGAAACACACACTTGGTTATTTCCCATCGTGTCACACTTTGAGAGAGACATTTTAACAACACAGGCAAAACACAGGAAAAAGAAAACCCACTATAGGGGTATGGTACAGGACCAGCTAAAACTGTAACCCTAGACACAGAGGGTCTGGTAATAAAGAACAGTCTCACAACTGCTTCCCCTCCTGTCCATGTTCACAGTAACAGCTGGATACATACTAATTGCAAGAATTGAAAGAAAGAGCTTTAAGTTTAAAAGCAGGCATGCTGGAATCAGTTCCTCACCGGCACAGCTTCAGACCCAGGTGTGCTGTGCCGCCTAGCAGGTCTATTGTAAACGTGCACTCACAGTTCCTTGGTGTGGATGACTTCGTGCTGGTCTCTGCTTCCAGGTGCATCGCTTCTGTCCATTGAGAAATGCTTTAAGCGTGGGTTCTCGGCTTCGGCGCTGTGGACATGGGGTTGGATCACTCTTTGCCCACCCGATGCCACTGGCACCCCCTCCCCCAGCCGTGGCAACCCAAAGCGTGTCCAGGCACTGCCAGATGTTCCCTGGAGGGCATGATCACCCCCAGTCGCTGGAATGGCTTTCTCTTCCCTCCCCGAGCCCACTCCCAAACATCTCTACCCAGTACTGGGAACTTTTATGAGACACCTCCTAATCCACTGGATTTTCCTCTTGTTCTGAGTGGCCTTCGGTAATATTTTTGACTTCCTAGACTATTATTCAGAACAATGCTCCTGTTGCCCTTGAGAAGAAATTCCTTTCAGCTAAATTTGGGAGAGGGAGGAGAGGAGGCAGGTAAATATGCCTTTAGAGACATCTGTCTGTCTTAGTCTATGGAGGGTTTCAGACCGAATTCTGCACATCCAGGGTCTCTGTGAACTAGAGGGGGCTGTGGGTACTTAGAACTCACCTCCCTCTGCCATATTTTTACAAATGAAGAAAGGGGCCGGAAGGGGAAATGAATTGCTCAAAGTCATACATACTCCTAATCCTCCTTTTCTGAGGGCAGAGGCCAGTATGATTCTTCTCTGTCCAGCATGTCTGAAGAACTTTGGTCTCTAAACACGGATAACTTTCAGTGCTTTACAAGTGACAGTTTTGGCCAAACCATGCCAGTTCAGGCATGCAAATTTTATAAATGATAGAATACTGCAACCAATTAGTGCAAATGAACATTTATTGTGAAATATTCATCCTACCCTTTATTAGGTATTACATCATCAAAGCACTTTGTGGCAATGAAAATAGCTTTTTTAACCCCCTCTGATTCACCCAATATTCCATTAAAGCTGCAAAAAATGTGCAATCTGCTTGAAAAATAGGTTGCTCTTATTTACTCATTTGTGAAAAGTCAAAAATTAAAAAAGAAAATGATCCTAGCTTACAGGGCCTCTAGAGCCAATTTGCTTTTCCTGGTTCCCAGCTACTCCCCAGAATAATTAACAAAGATAATTTGTTTTAAATGCCTTTTTTATAAAACCAATGCACCTTTCCCCATATTATAATCATAAAAATTTTAAAAAGCCATTATTTACTTTCTTGGAAAAAAGGTGGCCAGCCGTTGTTTTTTGATTGGGAGCATGTGTATTTCCTGGGAGTTCACTTTCTTTAACTTTATGCTCCGGTTTTTGGTGGGTTTCCTGAGGGCCTCCGTGTTTCCCAGGGCCTCTTCTCCTGGGCTATTGGTGTCGGAGCCCTGAAACACGGAGTCTTCTCGTCTGAAGGAGAAGTTTTTGGTGGACACCCCCGAGAGGCCTTTGATCTTGCCACAGAAGATGGTAGGCACACTGTCTTCAACGGAGACGATCACCTTGGCCGCCTGGGACTCGCTCACCATCTCCATGTGATTTTCAGCCTTGACCTCGCCGCTGGGCTGGCTGGGTGGCTCCGTGGTGTCGCTGCCGCCCCCGTGACTCTCCATGACAGATGCGGCCTCCTGTGTTGTGGCGGGGGCAAAGGGCACTTCCATGCCACTGGGCAGTTTCTCTAGCACCGGGTGACCTGGGCTGTCCACGGACCCGCTGCTGTTGTACAGTGTCTCGGGGGGAGGTTCAGGTTTCCGGTGGGCGGCCAGCGACAGGTCTAGGGCTGTGTCTTCCTGGCCCATTGTGGGGCTGACTTCGCTAGCCTTGAGCCAGGGCACCGACTTCATGGAGAGATCCAGGGCCTCGTTCTCACTCCCCATCTTGATGACGGTGTGGCGGCCGAGCTGGAAGTACTCCCGGGGCTGGAACAGGTCGAAGGGCTTTACTTCCTCCTTCTGGAGAGGGCTCTGGGGGCCTTTAAAGGGGTGGAGGCCGAAGGCAGATGGCGGCTTGGGGCAAGTTGGGCTGAACTTGGCTTCAGAGCTCTGAGGCACGGGGATGGGGATGGGGATGGGGAGTGGTACGGGCAGGGGCACGATCACCGGGTAGGGCACCAGGAGCGTGGCTGGTGGGACCAGGGGTGACAAGGGGGAGTTGAATGGCTGGGGGGGCACCGGGGCATAGCCTGGGGGAGGCTGGCAGGGCGGGGGGCCGAGTGCGCCCTGGGCAGGAAACAGATTGTGGAGCACAGCTTCGAAGGGCAGCGGGGGATCCTGCGGCTGGCTGGGGATCCGCAGATCCAGGAGCTGGGGTTGCGCCTCGGGGTCCCGGGCCCCCTGGAAGAGGTTGTTGTGGATGGCGCTGGAGGAGCCCGGGGCTTCTGGTGGCAGGACCAGTGGGGAGTTGAGGTGCTGGAACACATGCTGCTCCAGCACCACTGGAAGCTGCACAGGCCCCTGCGCGGTCATCACGTACGTGGCGTTGCTGCTCTGGTTGAGCTCGGGCGCCGAGCTGCCCTCCACCTGCATGTGAATGGGCATCACCACAGGGCTCTCCCCCAGGCACAGGGGCTGCAGCACAGTGGCCGCCACCTTGAGAGCCACACCGCTCTGGGACTCAGCCGGGGGGTTCAGGATGGACGGGGCCGGCACGGTCACCAGCGCCTTCTTTACCAGGTCGGTGGAGTTGATGTTCCAGGCCTCGGTGGTGATCAGCTGGGCCATGCCATTCTCCAGTCTGTTATTGGTCAAGGCGGGGGAGGAGTCACTCATGTCCATGGCGAGGTTCTGGGACTGCAGATCGTCCATCACTCGGCTCGGATGCCACTCGGCCTGCAACACAGAATACACCGTGTGAAGCTTCCTTCTGAGACCATTTATACTGCCTCCAGAGCTCTCCCCACATCTCTTAAAAGTTTCCATGTCTCAGTTACCCGGGGAGCACACCCATTTCTCAATGTACACATACATGTGACAGCTATTTCCTAATATATACGAACACACCCATACGATCAGCTGTGCGTGGACAGCCCCAATTTAACAGACTATTAAACTATAAACACAGATGATGTCATGACTAAATAGCTGAGTGAGGTTGAACAGAGTATTGTGAAGCTGAATACGCACTCAGCTTATGTTTAGCCTTCAACAAACACAAAGTTTCATTCCACATCGCTCTATTGGACAGTTAAGATATGTGGAGATTGGACTTGTCCAAATTCAAATAGGGAGCTAAGACTTACTTTTCTTTAAGGAAAAAACAGAGCTCTGCCACATTAGAATATTCTACAAAATTGGACAGGGGCCATCCCAGTTATGAAAAGCATTAAAAAAAAAAGAAAAAACAACCTCTCTGTAGCAGCAATAATTCTTCCAAAAGAGCCTTGATGAGAGGAACACCAGTGTATTTATACAAGGGTCATTACAGTTGTCTCCCTCTCTCTGACCAATGGCACCTTCTTTCCTCCAGTCAGAGGAAAAGCCACTCCGAGGAGCAAGGGGGAGACGGGGTAACTTGTACAAACACTCATCGGGGTCCAGTGTCACTTTCCCAATCAGTCTGTCTGACCCTTCACCTCCCCTAACTTCTAGCTGTCAAGAGGAGGGGGTGTTGATGAATCTAGGCTGTGGGGAAATGGAACTCTTGTTGGAAACAAACATCCTCAAAGGTGAGATATACTTTCTTGATGTCCTTGGCACGTCTGGCCACCTCCTAAGATGCCAAAGGAGCCCAGCGCCGGTGCTTCCTGGAGGAAGCAGGGCTGCAGCTGCAATATGGCTCTCCATGGAAACACGTCCATATTTAGCCTTGTTACCATGGAGAAGGCAGGCACCATGTCTAACTCAGGGATCTGTGCAGCCCTGGAGTCTGGTGGGGCTCAATAATAATTCAATAATCTTCAGTTTTGCTGGGCAGGCCTTGGGCAACTCCAGTTCTTGACCTCACCTGTCTGAGCTGTCTAGACTTTTGTCCTGTGGTCAACTCATCCTTCTCTCTTCACCCCTCCATGACCGACACAATCTCCAAAACAAGAGAGGCGGCCCAGAACACCATGGGATTAGAAGTCAACCAATGAACCTTCCCTACAGGAAGGCGGTTTTAACAAATGAACAACCCTGTGATATTTCCAGACAATCACAACGTGTTGAATGCACAGAACAAGGAATTTCTCTGAAGTAGGAGGAGGGGAGGGCAAGACGAAGGATGCTGTGCAAATGACTTTCTGCAGAAGGATGGGTGAGCGATACCCTGGGCTGGGCACACTGCAGAGCCTCTGAGGAAGGGTGCCAGAGCCCAGCTGCCTAGGGGCCAGGTGTGCTCCGGAGATGGCCATGAGCTAGCCCAGTGTGCTGGCCAGTGATGCCCTTGGGGGCAGAGTGGCAAGGGGGCTTGCCCCAGGTGAAGGGTCTGCTTTTCCTGAGAGGAGTGCTCTCTTATTCAGTCCAGAAAGTGACATGCCTCTGATATACCGTTCATTCATTATTCCATGCATTCATTCAGCATTCATCCAAACAATCAATTTGCTGAATGCCTACTGCATGCCAGAGCTTTGCTGGGAGCTGGAGATGCTGTTGTGATCCTGGAGATGTTCATACTTTCATGGGGACTATAGTCTAGTGGAGGAGCATGTCTTTGATCAGATAGAGACTGGCTAGCGTGAGAGGGCCTCAGAGTGAAGCCAGGAGAGTTAGCAGGCTCAGCAGGTCAGAGCTCTGTCGGCCATTCACATGCAGCCCTTGGAAGGCCCTGAGCGCCCCAGACCTCCTCCAGAAGGGCTGCCCTGTCTGTCACACTGGCCAGAACTCTGGGAGGGGTGACAGGAGTCTGAAGGGAAGCTGAGGTGGGGCTGGAGAAGACACGGACTGCAGCAGAGAAGGCATCCGCGACTGTCCATCTGAGGTGGCTTCTGAGGACCTGCGAGGCAAGCCACCAGAAGAAATCCCATTCCCTACTTCCTGTGGGTCTGGGGTTACCCCACTGAGAGACTGCTTCCTCATAAAGGGCTATACCGTCTGTCCTTCCAGATGTGGGCCTCCCTCTCTCTCTCTGCCTTCCTCAGTCCCGTTCCCCCGCCCACCAAGAGCAAGAAGGCAGATTTTGGAGCATCATTTCCACCTGCTCTGGGCACACCCGTCAGCCCAGCTAGTGGCTCTCATGTCTTCCTGCAGCCCCACTCCTCTCCCTGCCTGGCCCTGGTTCTATGGCAGCTAATCCTCCAGCATCTTCCCGCTCAGAGTGTGAGGAAGCCACCTTGCCAGGTCAGGGTGTCACCCATGGGCCCCTGCTCCTCCCACGGGTGGTATCTGAAGGAAAGTTACGTGGTTCAAAATAGCCTGGAGTTAAAAGTCCCCTCCAGGTCCTCCCCACCATTCTATGCAAAACAAAGAACTCTCTCACCCGAGGAAAAAATGGACATTAAGGTTGATTACGCCCAGCTCCCAGCCCGTTCAGCCTCTGGCCGATCTCCAAAATTCCTTGCCCCAGCTGTTTAAGAGATAACTACTCCAAACAATCTTGGAGAAGAACAGGCCCCCTTAAGACAGTAGATTTCCACATACATGCCTGTATATACTTACTCTTTTCTTGGATAAGTGCAGCAGCTCAGTAATCTGACTGCTGCCCCTTCTCACCTCATTAAAGGTGCTCTGTTCCTGTAAAGTGCCGGTCTCGTTCTTTTTCTGAACCTCGCCTTCTCTAACTCCCTTACCCTACACCACCCAGTGAGTTTCAGCTCTTGGCACCAGACCTGCGGGGGCCACGAGCCTCTGGGAACAGGACTGGGGACAGACGGATGCAGGAGAGGCCGGGGCACAGGTGGAGGTGAGCAGCGTGTGGCATCTCAGGGGCCAAGGGCCTGGATCTCACTCCTGCCTTCTCCCAGCTCCACAGCTTTGGAGCTGCCTGACCACTCTGCTTCCCCACTATGGGCTGGGCAGCAGCTCCCCTCCAGTACCATGCAGGGCCCAGGGCTACCCTGCCCTTATCACACACACCTCCCAGGAGGGCTCTTCCCTCTTACTCTCTGCTCTCCCTTCCCTTGTTCACCCTGCCAGCAGGCGCCCTGACTCTGGGGGGCCTCAGTGGGTGACCCCATTGCAGGAGCTGCTGCTGGAAGCCTCAGTGATGTCCTGAGGATAACCAGGTCAAGAGATGAGGGTTCAGAGGGCAAGTCTCTGTCCCTGAGAACAAACCAGGAAGCCAGATGGGCTGCCCAAGTGTGCTCCAGTCGAGGAGGCAGGGAATGCTTTGCGTATTTTAAGGTATTCTCTGCAAATGAATTTAAATGAGGTCAGCCATCCAGCCTGCACTATTACCTCTGGGGCATGGGATGGGGGTGTAACGGGAGGGGAACTGGGCCCTGTGGACCTGCGGTTGTTGGAGACCCTTGCTTTCTTGGCCCACAGCCAGTTGCTGGGGCTGGAAGGCAGGGGGCTGGGGCCCACCCGGGTGTAGCCTGTGTGCCCTGCAGCCGGAGACTCTGGGGAGAAGGCTCAGGGCAGAGGGCAGCTAGGCAAGTGGGGCAGTAGTTGGGCTCAGAGACCTGTGGGGTCACAGAATTGCCACCTGAACCCCCTGCCTAACTATCACGAAGATCTAAGTACACACCACAGGGGCATTGTCCCTGGACTCTGCCCTCAGCTTGGCGCCCCCTTGGGCCTTGACCTTCATGCAGCCGACTCCTGCTCATCCGTCACACTCCGAAGTCTCTGCCTCCCCCAACCCCACCGAGTTCCCGCCTTCCCTTGTCTAGTCCTCCCCTTCCCCCTCATGGCCAGCAAGAAAAACAGCTTCTCCTTCGCTCATCTTTATACTCATAACTGATGAACAGCAGGTGTTCCCCGAATCCTTTCAGAATGAGAGAGAGCATCAGTGAGTGTCTAGGCTGTGGAGCCTCTTGTCACATTTATAGAATCAGGGCAGGTCAAGGCTGGCAGGGCATGAAACCTCACACCACTATCCTCTTCTCAACCCTTCTTATCAATGAGGAGACTGTGACCCAGAAATTCTGATTACCACTCATCAGAGGCCAGTTATCACAGAGATCACACACTCGCACTGTCCTAAGAACAGAGGGTTGGGCCCATAGGCCCCACGGAGGGGAACGTGGTAGCCAACTGTCTTGCTGGCCAGGCAGAGACTCTGATGATGATGAGGCAGGAGATGCAAAAGCACTTTCATGGACAGTGAAGAGCCCACCGGGGTGACCAGTGAATGGATTCGTCCTAGGGTCCTGTGTTTCTCTGATGCACACAGAAAAAGAAGACCAAGGCAAAGCGGCACATGTGCCGTTTCTCTCATAAGCAGTTACATTTGGGAAGAAGCTGACCTGGGGCCCAACTCCCGGCAGTCAATAAGTGACCCGCCCTGCATCTGCACCCCACTGGGTGCCCTGCAAGCCAGGCCTGCCTCTCAGGCTTCCGCTTCCAGAGCATTGCACAGAGGACTCAATTTACCCTACGGGCTGCCATACAGACTGACATTTTTATGATGAGGATTCAACTATGGCTTAATTTCAAAGGTGAAAACACTTGACCACTCAGACTATTCCCTAGGTTATAGGTGCATCTATTTCCTTGTTGTGGGCATTTAACACCTAATCTCTCTCTCCATCTCTCTCTCTCTCTCTCTCTCTCTACACACACGCACACACACACTCACACACTCAAATAACCTAATACCCTCAGCTACATCCTAAATGATCTCCTGGGAGCATGCCAGGGAGCCCTGTATCACCTTCTGGAGAGCATCTTGATTTCATGTTGTGAACTGAGAGTGTTTTCACCACAGAAGTGACTACTGAGCCAAC